ATCTTCAGTACAGATTGCCCGACTTATTACTATTTATGCCCAAGATGGGGGCTTGCCATCCTTCTACCAGTTCATATTTGATATTCTCTTCAGTTGGACTTTTTTTATTTTATTATATTGCATAGTGAATTGTATGGTAGCATTGTACTGTATACTAAAATATTTATGTTGTCACTCTGTTAATGTTAAGGTTACTCTAAAAGTTCTAACATCTCCCCTTGTCTTCCTTTTTATATTTACTTCCCCCCTTTGATGTTGTCATACAAAGGGCAGGGATTTTAACTTTTTTTCCCAAAACAATATACTTTATGCATAATAATAATAATAATAATAATAATAATAATAATAATAATAATAAAACACTTTATTTAAACAGGGTGACTAGAGTTACACGAAGTAATTTTCATCTAGGCCCTAAGTAGTATACTGTCTATTAATACTAAGACTATAAATACCAATATACAGAGTTACTAAGTCAAAAATATACACATAGGGTTAAAAATGATCGTCACCTGCCAATTTGTTCTTTTTTTGGAGAAGCTAATAAAATTAAAATAATCTTAATAATTTGTTTTGTAGAGATTCGGTGAAAGAGCTTTGAGAGAAGAGAATCTGCCTGCAGTTGAAGAAATTCTGCCTGCAGTTGAAGAGAATCTGCCTGTAGTTGAAGAGAATCTGCCTGCAGTTGAAGAAAATATTCAAGATGAATGTTTTCAGGTAACCCTTCATTAATATTTCATATTTGGGGTTTAGAACTACAATGTTACACCGCACATGTTTGATGTAGTGCTGTGCACCGGAGTTCTGCCGGAGCTCCGGCGGTTTTTTGATGTCCGTGCCGGAGCCGGAGTTACATTTCCCCAACTCCGGCAAAATGACAAGAAAACAATTGAAATGAGACAAATGTCAAATGATTGTTACTTACTGCAAACTGCCAATTGCTGTTAAACATCATGCTTTCATGAAGCTATCTGACTTAGGGGCCATTCACAAAGGATGTCCGGCCAAATGATGGATTTTCAGACCCCCCCCCTCCCCCGCTTGTCCGGCATTGTCCGAATTAGTGACCTCCTCCCCCCGGACATCCGCCATGCCTCGCAAAAACTCATGCAACCTTGTATATATCAAGAGTAAAAGTTTTTTTACTTTTAGAACTTTTTTATAACTGTAAATGTGAACACAAAAACATATAAATTACTAATTAAAACAAAATCTAGTGTTAACCGCATAGTCAAAATGCCAATTTCACAATGTGAAATGGGAAAAGAAATTTGTTTTTGAATTTTTTTAAATTTCGGATATCCGGATTGCTAAAAATATGTCCGAGTTTGTCCTGGCTCGGACATCCTTTGTGAATGGACCCTTAGCACTACATAGTCACATAGTCTTAGCGCTATACATAGTCGCTACATGTGTATTCATGCCTTGTAGATAACGAAAAAGTACAAAACAAATAAATATCAACCTTTTGAAAATGACAGTGTTTGCGTGCGAACAATTGCGCTGTGGAGTCTGAGAGTGTTAGTGTCATGCTATATAAAAATTGCAACACTATCAAAGATTTTTTGAGGCTGGTTTCCATATAGGTATTTTCTACGTGGTTAAGTGTTTTCACTGTTTTGTTTGCTGAGTTATGTTATCTGATAATTAGGTTCTCTCCATTAGGTTCTAAAAAATCTATTACCTTAGATGTACGTAGGATAATTGCCCTCGAACGCCTCTTAGATATAACTGTGAGTAATTAAGTTGGGATTATTCATGAAAGGTTTATTTACAACCACCAGTTATATTCTAGTGTAAGCTACACCAGATCCAAACGGCACACAAATCACTGTGTGTCTGTTAATCACCCAGTTTTTAAATATGGAATGATTTTAGGTCTCTTAAATATCAAGCTAACTTGTAATTGTACTCTGGATATCTCACAGTATTGTCAATGCTTAATGCATAGTGTAGTTATTGTGAAACCTATGAAAGTGAGTGAGAGGATACTATTCAAGGATGCAGATTTTAATGTCAGCAGTACATTTCTTGTGCATGTTGAAGATACTGATTCTGTCATTGCAATTTATCCTTCTCAAATTGAACGGAAGTGCATTTGTTTAAACTCAGGTGACAAAATATATTTTTGTCCATTGCCATATCGAATTTATGGTGATTAGCTACTGTACATAGTGAATTAATGAGCGTATATAAAGTCATTCAAGTGAAATACATGGAAGTTCATGTAGTCTTCTGAGAGATGAGGAAAACAAACGAACAGAGAATTTCATCTTTTATTCCTTCAGGGCATTCTTCCTCGCCGTTATCTAAATCACTTTCTTCTTTTTGTCTATGGGATTTACACACTTTTATGTGACTCAATCTCTAGTAGTAGTGCAAATGTGCAATTGATCTTTCTGAGTTTGCCTAACAAGGTTTGTAATTCAAATGGAGGAGTTGTATGGTCTGTAGGGTCCACTGTCAGGGCTACTTCTGCATTCACCTTGGAATCGCATTCTCCACTGACTACTTCTGCATTCGCCTTTGATTAACTCCATTAGTCTCTGGGAAATTGGACACTTTGGATGCACATAGGACAATTGCTTTGCAAGATCTTTTAACACACAACAGTCGAAAATCAATGTGGCAAATTGAATGATAACTTTAGATATGTTCTTGTACAAACATCAGTTATATTTCAGCATAAGTCGTACTAGATCCAAATGACACACAACCCACCATACATGAATTCAACATCAAGTTTTTAAATATGCATTAGCCATTAGGTCTTATTAACCCATTAAGTGCCAGCGCTCTCCCCTTGACGAGTAAAATCGTCTGACGTTAGACAGAGTAAAATACCAAAGTAGGGTGCATCAGGGTGCATCGCCACTCAATAGGTTAACTAGACACATGGGCAGATAGGCCAGTTAACCCATTAAGCGCCAGCGCTCTCCCCTTGACGAGTAAAATCGTCTGGTGTTAGACAGAGTAAAATACCAAAGTAGGGTGCATCAGGGTGCATCGCCACTCAATAGGTTAACTAGACACATGGGCAGATAGGCCAGTTAACCCATTAAGCGCCAGCGCTCTCCCCTTGACGAGTAAAATCGTCTGGCATTAGACAGAGTAAAATACCAAAGTAGGGTGCATCGCCACTCAATGGGTTAACATTAAGCCATCATGCAATCATTATAATTGTAAAACAAATGCATGCTAGTTACTCGGAGACATTTATTTAGAATAATTAGACACAAATTACAGTGTATCTTATAATCATCCAAGTTTCTTCAATTTACAATATCTTGTAATTGTGCTCAGGATATTTCAAAGTATTGTCAATGTTTAATGCTTAGTGTAGTTATTGTGAAACCTGTGAAACAGTAAGATATAATTTCCTAAACCTATTTAAGCTACAGTAGTGAGAGAATGTTGTTCAGGGATGTATAGATTTTAATATTACAAGTAAATTTATTGTACAGTTAGTTGAAGAAAATGACTTATCATTGCAATACATACAGTATATAATAATAATAATTTAATTCTTCAGTGCGCATTTACAAAAAATTCTCAATGCTCATTACAATGGTATTACTTATTAATACAGTATATATTAGATTATATAGTTAAAAATTTGCGAATACTAAGAACTAACTGTAAGCTTGGTTAAAAAGAAGAGTCTTTAAGTTTATTTTTAAAAATATCAACAGATGTCTCTAGTCTCAATTCATCAGGCAGGCTATTCCAAAACGCCGATCCAGCCTTCCTAAATGTTCTATCGCCATATGTTTTCGTGATTGTCCTTGGTTCTTGAAGCAAATTTTTAGAAGCAGATCTTAAACAGCACGAAGGCTGATGTATTTTCAGAAGGTTTTGAAGATAGGATGGAGCCAAATTATTTAAAGCTTTAAATACTATTAACCCAAGTTTAAATTGGATACGGCTTTGTATAGGAAGCCAATGAAGTTCTTTCAAAATGGGAGTAATATGCTCTCTTTTATTTGACCTTGACACAATTCTAGCGGCTGTGTTTTGTACATGTTGTAGTTTCTCAATCTCACATTGTGGAAGCCCATAGAGGAGACTGTTGCAATAATCAAGACGAGATGTGACAAAAGCATGAACCAACCGCTCCGCAGTCGATTGGTCAAGATACTTCCGTATACTGCCAATGTTCCTCAAAGCAATGTAAGCTGTTTTACAGATTGAATTTACATGACTCTTCAGAGAGATTTTCGTCCACAATGGCGCCAAGGTCACGGACCTCAGTTTTGATCTTGATTAAGCTATCACCAATATAGACGCTGGGAGGAGCTGGATATGATTTAGCATATGCAGAATGTAGATAAATAGCTTCAGTTTTTCCATCGTTTAAAACCAGTTTGTTTTGAAGGCACCAAGCCTGAATATCATGAAGACAATGTTCAAGACGCTGAATGGCAGTGTCAGAATCGTGTTTCTTTAGGATAATGTAAAGTTGAGTATCATCAGCATAGATCATAGCATCAATGTCATGGGCAGTAAAAATATCTTCTGGTGGAGAAACGTAAAGAGAAAAAAGCAATGGTCCGAGAACCGATCCCTGAGGCACACCTTGTAATAGCGGAGTTGATGCCGAAGTTTTACCGTTTACTTTTACATACTGAGTTCGAGATGTGAGATATGACCGAAACCAGGATAGAGCTGTACCACAAATTCCAAAGCGAGATTTCAGACGGCCAAGTAGAATTTGATGGTCAATTGTATCGAAAGCTGCAGAAAAATCGAGCATTACTAGAAGAGCTTGATGGCCAGAATCAAGTGCCTCTAAGAGATCGTTTTGAACACGTAAAAGAGCTGTTTCAGTACTATATCCCTTTCTGAACGCAGATTGGAGATTTGGATATATTTTATTTTCCATTAGATAATCGATAAGTTGGGGAGATGCGACTCGTTCGATCGTCTTCGAGATAAACTGTAAATTTGAGATTGGACGAAAACTACTCATATCTTCAGGATCCATCGATATTTTCTTTAGGACAGGTGCAAGTTGGGAAACTTTCAAAGCATCTGGCATGGAACCACCGCCCAAAGATAAATTAACAATATTCGTAATAGGTGTTAAGACCACATGAAGACATTGTTTCAGAACCACAGTTTGGATTGGATCTAATTCACAAAACTTTGTAGGAGATTTCAAAACAATCTGCTTAATGTAGGTCTCTGTTACAGGCAAGAAAGATGAAAAACTTGAGCTGCATGTGCATGGACGGAGATAAATATTTGGTTCTAAGACAGGAGTTTCGCATAATTTACTGTGAAGATTGCGAATCTTATCATTAAAGTAAGTTAAGAATTGATCGGCTGGGTCAACCAGAGAAGAGGGAAAAATGTTTGTCCTTTTTCCACTGGTCATCTTTTCTACTTCACGAAAAAGAGACCGCTGGTCAACATTACTAAAACGATTTCGATGGTATGATGTTTTTGCATCGTTCAGACGTCGATAATAGCCGTTACAATAGTCTCTAAAAATCTGTTTATCAATTTCAAGACCAGAAGATCTATATTTCCTTTCATAACTCCTTTTCTCTGCCTTAGCCTCTCGAAGTGAATCATCAAACCATGGAGCATGCGGTCGGAGGGTGACGAATCTTGGGCGTGCAGGAGCATGCATATCCAGAAAATTCGTTAGGTCAGTATTGTATTGATGGACTAACGAGTCCAGGTCAGAGCAAGGTTCAGTGATGATAGACGATGCGCAAATAGATTGGGAAAAAGCACACAAGTCAATATTCCGAAGTTTTCGGTGGTTCACAAACATTCTTGTGGATTTAGGGCGGGGAACAGAAATTCGACCAGTAATTACAGCATGATCTGAGGGAAGCTGCAATGATGAGCTTATATCGGATATAACAGTATCTGAGTTGCGAGTAATCACGAGATCAAGAAGGTGACCACGGTTGTGAGTTGGGGTTTCGACATGTTGTATCAAGTTATTAGAATCCAAAAGATCAAGAAACAGGATGGCATCACGGTTTGTTGAAACATTATCGAGATGGAAATTGAAATCACCAACCACTAGCAATCGACCAGGCAGGGCGGCCAGATTCTCAATGAGAATTGGGAACTCATTGAAGAAAATGTCTGCAGACAAGCCATTTTTCTTTGATGGAGGTGGTCGATACACCGCAACGATATACAAACAAGTGGATATATCGTCTTCAAAATTTTATTTAAAAAATGCGTCGTGTTTAGGTTTCACATTTTGAGTTAAAATGTATAACAAGCGGTAAGGTCTATAAAATATATTAGCTGTCGTTCATAGCAAATTTTGTCAAACCTCTTGACAGTAGCCTTCATCACAGAGTATTAGTTAAGTCAATTAATTACTCTGGTACAGTTTTTTATTAGAACGTTGAAGCTGAAATTGAAAAATTAATAATCGTTGATTCAAACAAAAGTATGAACGCACTGAGTATATTGAAGAGTGCTCAACACCACCAATGTAGGTAGAGCTTTATAATTATTGTCTTGTCTACTTTAATTAAATGAATAAAGTCACAACTCCGAGTTTCGCGATTTGACCCCCCCCCCCCAGTTTTAGTGAGGTAGTCGGTAAAACGCGAAGTTACTCGGTAATGGCAAGAGTCATGACAGCGGTCGGTAAAACAAATCGATTAAAGTGGAATTTTGCTCCTCGGTAAAGGGTCTTTCTATTTTATGAGTTCGAGTTGATAAAATCGAGTTATGAGTTCGAGTTCAAAAATCGAGTTAGCATTTTTGTCAGCGGTAACACAAAATAATATATGTTAATTACCCTAAATATGCCAAATTATTCACCGGCCCATGTGCTTGTTTGCAAAATGGCGGAAAATCATTCGAGTTGTCCTTCGGCTTACCCTGGGTTTGAGTTGTCCTTCGGCTTCGAAACAGGTATGAAATTAGCATATGATAATACAATTATTTAATGGTTTTTCTTTTGTAATTGTATTAAAATATTCTTTTAATAACAACGAATCATATTTTATTCATTGAAAGGTCATTGATGTTGAAGCAAATGCCACAGAAAGGTATAGTATTAAAAAATATGTCTTTAAAATTTCAGTTTTTTCAATGATGTTTTATTTACGCCACCGTCCTTTTTTATTTATAGGTTTAATATACTTATATATCTCAGATAATTTATCGTTTTATATTTACGTAGAAGTTATGCAGAGGTGGTAAAAACGGAGAAAAAACGCTCATTTACACAGTGGATTCTGATGAGGATGACGATGGAGTACAACAGTAAAGAGACACGGTTAATTTACGTATGGAAGGCAAAGAGCATGTAATTGAGAACTTTGGGAAGGTAAATTTATGCTTATAACTAAATTTGTAATGTATTTTAAAGTATTTTTAAAGTCCTTTCATATTTATCGTTATGCACCCATCAATGTTAACCCCGCGAGGGGGGGGGGGGGTCATATGTGGGGTATTTGATCATCAATTTGATTGAAAATTTGCTCAAAAAATCAAATACTCCACCCATGCCCGACCCCTCCCACCTCTGGGGCTTAACATTGATAGGTACATTAGTTTTTGGCAAACGCCAAAGGCGTGAGACTGACTAGGGGTGTCCGGGGGCATTCACCCGGCAAATGTTTTGAAATATAGAGCCCCTGAAATTCGATTTAAAGCATTTTTGGGATGTAATCTTGCATAATTCCCAATATTATAAAGTACATCGAAGGCATATATTTTCCCTGACATTTCACCTTGGAATTTAATAAATTGAAAAAGTCACCTTCAAAAACGGGAGGAGTGATCACAGTGACCTTGTTTCCCCTTTTTGATGCTGGGGGAGGAGAAAATCCCAATGTGATTTTGATCAGAAAAGTTGCATTTAAATAAATTCTAGGTTATGAGATACCATTTCTGCATTCTCAAAATTGTGTTCCTTTTTTATACGATAAAGAATAAGTCAAGTAAATATGAGAAGAAATATTCATGCTAAGATGATGCATACATGTATTTAACTGTTAAAAATCTAAACTAAATCCATTCTTCTTGGAACCATATAACTACAATTATTTTAACGAGATCATACAAATCAAGTTCCTCAAGTAAATCGTCGTTTTCCTCAGTCGAGACGTACTTAGCCAGTTTCAGCTTCGAGCATGTAACATGTACCCTCTCGCCTCCACCCCTTGGCTACGCCACTGCCGATACATGTAGTGTCATTTGTTTTACAAGGCCAATTCTAAAAACAAAATAGCCCTTGTGATCCGTTTTGGCCCCGGTCAGAGCCAAAACGGTACTTATGGCAAAGTGACATAATTCTTATAGGTACCAAAACGACCCTAGTGTTCTGTTTTGGTCCCTGTTAGAGCCAAAACGGCCCCGGTTTTAAAAAGCCAAAATGGCCCTTCTAAAATTACTGTGTGCGTGACTGAGTTTGCGTGCGGGATTATTATTATTATTATTATCATTATTATTATTATTATTTTATTATTATTATTATTATTACTATTATTATTTTTATTAATCATATTTAAAAACACGGTAGCCTTTCAAAAAGAGTGATTTTCAAAGGGCCGTGTGGACAATTACATTACTAAAAACAATTACTTAATTAATTAATTAATTAATTAATTAATTAATTAATTAATTAATTAATTAATTAATTAATGTTTTTAATAAATAGATTACATTTATTTTCTCGTTGTCTGTTCCGTTATAGATACACGGTATGACGTCATATATGGTAAGAACAAAAAAGTGTCCACGAGCCGCCTAGGCGAGTTGTCACTTTTTGTTCATACCACGTATGACGTCATACTGTGTACCTATAACTGAACCAATCTCGTACCCAGAGCCATCGTTGAGTGGCTCTGGCCACACGGAATTGAAAAACGATCCTGATTGGTCGATCCATAAGTTATTGAACCCATACCCCCTGTGGCGTTCACGAGCGCGGCCAATATGAGTGAATACGATATATTTTGCTTTATTTGGCCTGAAAAGTTGCTTATTTTGACGAATTTTTTGTTGCTTTTCGTCCGAAAAAGTGGTGAAGGGATTAAGGAGTTGATTTATGCATACTTGAATTCATTTGGGCAAAATAACAGCCTTCGTTATGGTAATAATTCATACTCTTGGTTCACTCTGAGTGAGTATTGATGGGAATGATGGCATATGTCCTTGATCTACTATATTGGAGTGTTATTATTGAAAAGAAATTCAAGGGTACAAGACTTACAAGCATACACGTATGCTAGGACTGTATTTATACAAGATTTGGGATTTTTTAATTGAACTGTAAATGTATGAATCATCATGGTGTGAATGTAACAATTAAACAGCATTTGGATTCTTCTGCAACTTGTCAATTCGTTTGATAGAATTGTTTGATGATGCAATATATTGTTTCTGTTTACAGTATTGCCTGTACAACTCTGTCAGAAACATTGGTGTTTATAGCAGCCCAAAAAGGTTTCATTAATTTGAAGGCCATGTAAAGTATGTAAAGTAAACAAACCCTTTGTTTACATTCTGAAGTCTGAATCCAGTGCTATAGTTGTAAAATATTAGATATGCATTATACTGAATTTTTAACTCTTCTGGTTTGCTATGTTTGTAAATGAATACAGACTAGAGATTCAATTCAAGAAAGTTTGGAAGGTGCGAAATATTAATAACATTCCAATGGTCGGGTCCCAACCATTGGAATGTAGGCCTGCAGAATGCATGCGCAGAACAGACTTTACATGGTCTTTAATAATACCAGTATGTAATAATACTAGAAGTTACTATCGCAAAGAAAGTGCTGCCTCACCCCGCCTTCCATCACATAAGCACGTAAAGCACCCCTAAAGGCCCATCTACACGATACGACTAGTCATATACGATTCTTATCCTGGCGTATGTACTCGAATAAATGTGTGTAAAAATGTCAAATTTCAAACTTCCGCTAAATGCCTAAATACTCTAATTGTATTGACTTCCATAAATTCCTTACTCTTCAAGAAATTACTTCTTTGAAAATTCCTTCATTCTAAACAAAGATGAAGGATTTTGCAAAAGTCTACAGGTCATGCTATGCAAGTTTTTAATGATTTGCATTATTCAAATAGATGCAGGTTTATTAGCATATCATAACCAGTTGTTATGGCTAGCTTGCATGCCACTGAATACTGTACAATATCATATATAACAAATGATAATAATACTTGAATGAATCATTGGATATGTAGAATTTAATAACAATTTAATAACAATTTCATACATAGAAATACAACCTGTAAGTCAGTTTTTGTCCCTATTATAATTTTAATGGCACCTTCAAGGCTACCCCTACCGCAGAACAACTGAACAATTTGCCGATGGAGAGACAAAATCTATTTTGTTGACATTTTTGTTTAAGCCTGGCTCACACTGGCCGTAAATTATCGGGGATCTATTGCATTCTTTTCCAACAGACAAAGCATTTTACACACCAATGATCACAGACAATGGAAATCCTCGATTCTTACGACCAGTGTGAACCAGGTATTAATAATGTAAGCTTCATATGACACCATTCATTGTATAGATGATTAAGATTGTAATTGTTTAATATGTCAGCTTCATATGACACCATTCATTGTATAAACGATTATAATTGTACTCAGTCAGAACTGCAAAACTATATATATAATAAGAAAGAAATTGTGAGCATTATGGAAAAAGTCAGATAATTTTTCATTTGTATACAATTGTGTGTGGACCTCATACTGCTCATTTGACCTTATGCATAATGATGTCATAATACTTCATGCCCGTGAGGAATGCTGATCTTAG